CCCAGCGGCCAGGGCAATGACGTTTCTGGCCACCTTGGCCAAACTGTAAGGACGTGAGAGAACGCGGGGGGGGGGCGTGGCGTGGACGGGATGGGTATTGTCGCGGATGCCAGGCCAGACTTTTAAACTCTCTAAAAAGTTCCCGTCCCACTACAGACCGTCTCCAAGCTTTGTTGCAACCCATCACGTACACTGCCAAATGTTGCGTTCACCCCGTTTTACTACAGCCTACTACTACTACTACTAAGTTTCTCATCCACACCGTGACTGCCGCAGGAACATTCTTGACAGTTTAAAAAGCTGGCTTTCCTCCATGATTGTAACCATACTACAACATCTGTGCACTGAAGTATAGGCGGCCATCAATTCAAGAGACAACACAAAAAGTAAAACTCTAAATTTGAAATTAATATTCAAGTCATCTTTTTCAATATTCATTCCAAATAATATGAAAAATGCTTTTAAAAGGAAAAAAATTTAAAAACATAAAAGAAAAAGAAAGATTGTTTGCAGTAAACATGTAGCAAAATGGGTAAGAAACAGAAAAAAAATTATTCAATAAATATTCAAAAATACTAAAAGAATAAAAAAATGAAATTAAAAATTAATTTAAAATATAAAAAAGTAAACACAAAAAAGAATGGAAACACAAAAATCAAGAAAAATGGGAAAATGAAAACAAATAGAAATCCAACTCAGAAATAATACGCACAACTCAGAAATAAACGAACAAATTAGATGTAAACGAACAAATCAGAAATAAACGATAAACACTACAAACACAATAAACTGAGGTATTTCTTTCTGGACTTTTACTTGTCAATAAAATAAGCAAGAACGCTCCGCGGTTTTCGTCAGATTAAAACACCACATTTCCGATGGATGTAATTCGTTGATACTTCAATTTTATTACACCAGAACAGTAAACGTTTCCCTTCTTAGAACGTACTTGAGGTTTGTTTCTGGTGGCTGAAATTTCATTCACATTCATCACGTCACTTGTGTCTTTCAAATACCTAAGGGGTACTTTTATCTTGGGGATATGAATTAGTACTTTTTAAAGCCATACAATAATAAAATAAAAGGTAAGATTTTGAAGCAACAGATATTCTAAAAAAAGCCAAAAAATACACTTTTTAACGTTACATTTAAATGCAGCTTTGTATGCTGTTTACCCCTTTTCTCGAATTTCATAATTATTGCCTTTTTAGTTTTCAAGGGTACTTCAAATCTTTATTCATTTTTCAAATTATAAAGTCTCTGTCATTAAGACAATAAAGTTTCATCATACTACTGTGAGTGACACTCTTAGCTTTACATAAAATATAGTAAGTATATAACAAGTAAGTACTAATTGGTACAAAAATGGACTTAGAATCACGCGATATAATTTGACTTCACTTATTACATTAACAGATATGTTTAAGAAAGCAATTTCGATGTTATTTTCACACACTTTCAGTTTGTTTACAGCAGCAACAAATTTCTGAATATTAGCAGTTTCTACCAATAATGTTCAAATCATGTTCACAATCATATATCTTTTCAAATTTCAAAATTACGAATTGTTTTTATAATATTGCATTGAATTCGCATTTGATGGAAATACGTTGTGTGTGCTTTTCTCCTCATATGACTCATGCCACTAGAAGACTCTGCTGTTCGGAAATTGAAATGGAAAAAGAGAAATAGAGACGGGTTATTGTTTTGTCATTACATTTTCTCAAGGAACACCATTGACAGACCAAGACAGTTGCCTTAACTATAAGGAGTTTTGAAGATATTAGCTGAGACAAAGCAAAGTTCACTACTCACTTTTTCAAGCAATGCTGTTCACCTCCTACAAAGAGGTCTCTATACATGTATGTGGTTTTCTTCCAAGAAGCAAGACAACTGGAGTCCTTGTGCGTATCCTGGCATCTTCTGGAAGACAATCTAAACCTAAAATCCCCATCAACCTGGAAAAGACATTCACAAAATTTCAACAGTTAAAACTCACGGAAGCATACCGACTGGACTTACTGGGAGATCAGCCTTAGAACTACACTGAATACAACTTGAAAAATAAGAGATATGTACTTGATAATATAATAATAATGAACATTTATAGAGCAACAGTATCCAACGCGAATGGCGCTCACGGCGCTAATAAGCAGAGACATCCAATCATGATAAGTTGAGGAATATTAACCAAACGCCTGCCTATGCAAATATGATTTTAATCTGTCCTTGAATGTGTCAAGTGATTTCGATAGTCTCACAGATTCCGGTAAAGAGTTCCAAAGTTTAGGTGCTGCAATCTGAAAGCTTCTCCCCCCCCCCCGATAATGAGCAATAGTTTCCTTGAGTAGATTGCTTTTGGATGACCGCAAACGCCGATAACCTGGAGCATAGAACTGGACAAGATCACCCAAAAATCTGGAGCATCACCCTGTAGGATCTTGAAAATGACGAGACACAGTTTGTACTGGACTCGTTGTTGGATGGGAAGCCAGTGCAGGTCAGCTAACATGGGTGTGATGTGGTCTGTTTTCCTTGTACGTGTCATCATTCATGCTGCAATATTTTGTATTCTTTGAAGATGAGAGAGGAGTTGATTGTTGATTCCATAGAGGAATGAGTTGCATGAATCCAATTCGGATGTGATGAAAGCATGAACAATGGTTTCAGCAGCTCCCCTTAAGGGCCCTTGTCAGATGATCCCGTATTCTTCCAATGTTCCAAACTGACATGAAAGCAGCCTTTTTCATGGCCGAATGGAACATCACGCCTAAGTCACGAACATTAGCAGCAGGTCTAATTTGTGCATTGCCAACTCTGCAATGATGAATACTTGTCTGTGTTCTTACCGTTTCTGTACCTCTTTGAGGATATCAGGGCCACTTGGATTCTTCTCCAGGTAAGCTTGATAAATGGCCCAAGATCGGATGTAGTCCAGGTAAGATGCCACTGTTGTGTCATATTGAATATGAAATGATTCATTCCTACGTCCAAAAACAACAGAGACATTCTTCACGAGGCAAGTCAATTATTCTCAAAAACCTTTCAGACAGGTACAGTTCCACATTCTCAACATGCGCTTTGGCAAACACTTAATTGCTAAGTATGTGTAACATCAAAGCACCATTGCTCATTCACAGCACAGAATAGGAGACATGTCCATACCTTACTGTTTCGTCATACGGGATGCGGATATCTGCCAGCCTGTTAAAAAGATGCCGTGCACCTGGGCTGTTATAGGGTCCTAAAGTTACACTGCAGAGCTGTCATTGATCAGGAAGAAAAGCAGAACTTAAAATTGCAAGTCTGTCTCTGCCTACACAGAACTGATGAAGTCAAATCTATTGGATAAACACTATCTGCAGTGCTTGGCAGAAAAGCATTATTATTTATAATGTAGGGTGTGCTACGAAGCTATATCAAAGATGAAACATCACTTGTAGAAGGCTTTGCACGTGATACATTATGCAACATTGATGTTGTAGTAGATTCCAAGAAGAGGAATGCAGAACACATGTCTGTCAGCTTTAAAGAGCACTTCTAAGTAAAAGATGTTTTCTCTGATTTTATTTGTTCAAATAAATATAGACGCATTCAAATCGAACACAGTGTCACTTCTATTCAGAGTTTAACTATAACAAACTTAAAAGGGCTTTTTGCTGTTCGTACCATGATGCCAATTCTGAATGTAGAGTGCGTCATTCGGAGAAAACAGACAAAACTACCAGCGTTGGTAGTAGAAAAACTCTTGTGCATGCTAAACCATGCATATAAGCCATTATTTGGCATGCACAGGGCACAATGCACATGACACAATCTACATATTTATTTGAACAGATAAAATCAGAGAAAACTTCTTTTACTTAGAGGTGCTCTTTAGTGTTTTGTTCTCCATGTTTGAAGTGCACGACCAATCAGACAACAAAGATGAAAGAAAGGACCAATCAGAGAATAAGGATGACAGATTGGCCAATCATATGAAAAGAATCATAAGAGCAAATAGCAATGCACCTCTAGTCTCCTGATCAAAACGACAATAATTCACGGTTTAATAAATTCCTCACCTGCATAATCATATCCCTTAATTGCTCATTCTTTACGTCATCACCTTCAACCCAGGGCCGTATTTTGTGATATGTATAAATGGCAATGCATCCACTGGGTTTCAGTATTCTGTCCATCTCACGAAAGAACGCATCCAAATCAAACCAATGCACTGACTCTGCACATGTGATCAAGTCGACAGACCTGTCTGGTACAGCAATGCTCTCAGCACTTCCTATTCTGATGTCAAAACAAAAAATGTTGGATGAATTAAACATGATTCTCAATTATGCGCTGGAGAATCTGAAACCTATTCTTTACATACCTCTTCATTAACAAAACGTTGCCTGGTAGTAAAAGGTCTGTCGCTCGTGATCTGAGGGTTGGGGGTTCGAATCCTGGCAGGAGGTTACATCTCTCCACCCAGGAGTAACTGGATAACTGTGAGGGCTGATATAGTTATGATGTTTAGCCGTTTGCACCTAATACGGCTAAACATCGGTCAGAATACTCCCCAGGGAACTGAGATGGGTTAAGAAATGTTCAGATGTGAGCCTAATGAGCAGAGATGATAATATATCAGTGCCACTGAGTGACACAGTTAGATGCCGACTGCCTTAAAAATGCCCTGACGTTGTTTTTATTGTTCTACAGTCATCTTCTGAATTTGATTTATTTCCGACCACCTTCTCAATTTCCCAAACATTACTCAATGGACTGTACCTGCTATGTACAATAATGATTTCTTACTTCTTTAACAAACTGAAACAAACAACAATGCACTGCGGTAACCAAACATTTCCTCACCTAAATTCAACATTTGGTGGATTCTTCAAAGACTGTGCAGCTCTTATCTGTGCTTCACTGACATCAACACCGATGATCTTTTCAAAATATGGGGTCAAAGGTCTGGTATTCTGGCCTGATCCACACCCTACATCAACTGCAAGTTTAAAAGGCTCTGGGTTCTGTGTATCAGAACCCAGAAAATAAATTGAATGTCTTTAGTTTTCTTGAAAGTTCTGCATTGCTCGGTGATTAAAATAAAATGTTCAAAACTGAATCAAGATTGCAAATTACTGCATCAACAAGCATTTTGACCGCAGTTACAAATTTTCATAATGTCCTACATTGCTAGAAACATCAAAGTGGAAATGAAAAAAGCACCTCACCACATCTACTTGACACCATTCATTAAAAATGATTCCAAATCAAACTCAAAGAAGAAGTTATTTCAAGGATACTCCATTGGAGTCTATTGGACAATTGTGGACTGGCCCACAGCAAATTTCAGGAATGGTGATCGAGCAGCGCAGTATACCAGATGATCAATGTTACTTGTTTTCTACACTAGGCCAATATTGACAAACTCTGACTCTTAATTATTATCATATCTTAGAAAGGCAAAGTGGGAAGACAAAAGATTTAATGTTTGCTCCCTTTTCCTTCCCCCAATGCCTTTCTACCATTGTGCAAAATCATCCATGCAGTATTTGCAATAAGGCTTACTGCTTTGAGTAAGAATACATGTGCTTAGACCCGTAAACTGGGCCGGATGTATACTCCCTTGCCACACAGTATATGACGAAGGAGTGTACATGTTGATTGGGCCCACCTATTTACGGGTCTAACAGGTACCATGCAGGTACTATGCCACGAGGCAAAATGATCTATCTCCAACATTTAATAACACGAGATTTCCCGATTCAGCTTCTCGAAATTAAACGTTTAAGTTCTGCCTAGTGTTTAGCATGTTTCTTAAATTTTATCCCCAATGAATGGCAAGGTGGAGGCCTGCTGCATGGAGGTAGGAAACACCCCATGCCTGCCGGTAATATTCATGAGCATTGGCAAGTCATTAAGGGCCCTACCTTTTCCCGTAGAAAGCTCAGGCTTCTCTGGATAATTTCCGGAGGCCACTCGGGGCGATTTTTGAGGTAGATAGCGGCATGGTCCTCCTTTTTGAATTGACTGGTTTCGGTTGACATGGTTACGTTTCGGATGCTGAAGCGAAGTTTTGTCACTAGGACCCTTGCTCTACTACCATGCATGGTTGTATACCTCTACGTATGCATGTGCATCTACATAGTTTGGACCATGAAGCTATAAAAAGTTTCAGAGCTCCATGGTTGGACCTATGGTTGGACCATGGACTTGATACTGATGGAGACCCAAGGACCCATGCACGCGGTACGGGCGCGTACTATACATGTGTGCACACTTATACTTGCAACGAAGCTGCACACACAGCACATGAAGCTTTTTTTATCACGTGAGCTATCAGCTGATCCGTGTGTATGGTGTTCTATTCAGGCCACTGCGCGGTGAGAATTGTTTCACTGCGCGGTAAGGCAGACAGTTTCACGGCGCCCATCATGAGAGTTGTTCGGCAGCACGGTGAGTGTTGGTCAGTGATGCTGTTCGGTTGCACTACACTAATAACACACGCCTGTGGCAAAATCCAAGAGAAATTGCGCCACGTGGTGACGCCATTTCCTTCCTCCATGGTGACGCCCGGGAAGATTATCATAATCTTGTTTTTTTAATTGAAAATTAAAAATTATGAACACTGGGACAGTTTTCTTTTCAATTTCACAAGTTTTTTTTTTATTTTTTGTAGAATTTTTTTTTCATAGAGGGATAAAAAAAGAGAATATTTAACATATAAAGACTCGGGGCATGCGGTGAAATGAACCTTAAAATTAACTTTAAATAATCTTAAATGCACTTTTGATCTCAAAATTTTCTTTTTTTTAAATTTCAGCTTCTACTTAAAGACTACAACAAAATAGTTGCGTTACATTTAATATGTGTAGGAGTACACCGAGTCACCTGATTGTGATGTAGTTGAGATGTACAGAAATGAGGGGGACAATTTCTGACAAGATTTTCCTCGTCAGGTCAAGGAAGCTTTGTAAATTTCTTGTATTAACAAATTAAAATGTTTACATATTCATGAAAAGAAAATTTAAAATTCTTCTCAATGAATTGAAAATGGTAAAAGCAATTGCACGGACCTGGACAAAGACAAATTGCATTATCCATTAGGAAATGTCACATTTTTGACTTGGACAACGGCAAAGATCACTAGTTATTGTTTCAAGCAAAGCCATTCACCTACAAGCAGGTCTCCTCTTGTGGTTTTCTTCCAAGAAGCAAGACAACTGGAGATCTGACACGTATCTTGGCATCTTCTGGAGAACAATCTGAACTTAAGAGTTCCATCAACCTGGAAAAGACGATGGTAAAACTTCAACAAAGTCAAAATTGGAAGCTCAACCTGACCTACTTGAAGATTGACTTGGAAATACAGTTCATCCTCCGAGTACAACTTCAGCAGTCTGTCATCCATTATCCCATGGCAGTATAAATGCCCAAAGGACAGATACACTTATCTGTGTTCTTACCGTTCCTGAACTTCCTTTAGGATATCAGGACCACTTGGATTCTTCTCCAGGTAAGCTTGATACGCTGACCAAGACTGGATGTAGTCCATGTAAGATGCCATTGTAGTGTCATATTGAATATCTAATGATTCATCTCTGGTTAAGAAACAAAAAGATAGTACATGTATTCATGAGACAAATTAACAGGCTCAACAATTAAAATCCTCTAACGGGTCCGGTTAAAGATTTTCAACATGCTTGGGCAGGCACGATACAAAGCGCTTTTTTCTTACTCACAAAAGGACTCCAAACTAATTGTTCTACCTTATATTCTCATCATACGGGATGTGGATATCTGCCAGCCTGTTAAAAAGATGCCGTGCACCTGGGCTGTTATAGGATCCTAGAGTTACACCGCTGAGCTGTCATTCGTAAATATAATGAGAAAACAAAACTGATAGTTTAAGTTATCTCCACATTACTGATAAGTCAAAAATCTAGATGTGCGCCCTAGCATCTGCATTGCTTGCCAGAATATTATTCAGAATGCATAATAGGCTGCATAAATTACACGATTAAAGATCACTCGGTGAGATAAATCACTTATACTAGGCTTTGCATGCGACAGAACATGTGTCTTCAATGTAAGGAGGATTTCAGAACTGTCTCTTATTAAAGAACTGTTTTATTATTATTAATCATTTCTGGTAATGACACCAAGGATTCCTAAAAAGCACCATAGGCACTGTAGCTCCCAAGCCTGAAAAAACCTGTAGAAAGGAGACAATGAGAAGCAGTCTTACCCTTTTCCTGCTTATATGTGTTTGTGTTTGAGGAACATGACCAATCAGAATACAAAGATGAAAGAATGGACCAATCAAAATACACGACTGAAGGATTAGCCAATCAAATTACAAGTACAAATGAATTCATCAGAAGAGATGACAATGCACCTATTGAAAATTAATAAATTCCTCACCTGCATGACCACATCCTTTAATTGTTCATTCTTTACGTCATCACCTTCAACCCAGGGCCGTATTTTGTGGTATGCATAGATTGCAATGCATCCGTTGGGTTTCAGTATTCTGTCCATCTCACGAAAGAACGCATCTAAATCAAACCAATGCACTGACTCTGCACATGTGATCAAGTCGACAGACCTGTCCGGTACAGCAATGCTCTCAGCACTTCCTATTCTGACGTCAAAATAAAATATAAGTGTTGGATGTATTGTATGTACAATACATGTATATCGTAATTTCGCTCCGGAGACTCTGATACCTTTTATTCACCGTTGATTGATGAAAATTAGATGATGGATATTTTATGATCACAAGCAACTTTCATGCCCACAACCCAAAGACAGTGACAAACTGTGATGAAACTGCGGTAAATGGTTGTACAGTAAAAGGAATTTTTCTCCCTTAGAAATCGATTTGTTTCCCAATCCTTGATATTTTCCAAACATCATTTAAACGAATGCAATGTCTGTTGCTGTGCAGTCTTAAGGTCCCTAATTTTGCCATTTATTGTGAAAACAATCAGCTTTCGCACAGTAGGTAGCCCAATTAGGACTTGGTGAAAACACTGTGGCGAACGTACTAGTTACATGCAACTCATGAATTCTAATTTCTGTTTGTAAGTCAACACCAAGACAAATACATATAATGCACAGAGGCACCTGAAACATTTCCTCACCTAAAGTCAACATTTGGTGGATTCTCCAAAGACTGTGCAGCTCTTATCTGTGCCTCACTCACATCAACACCAATGACCTTTTCAAAATATGGGGCCAAAGGTCTGGTATTCTGGCCTGATCCACACCCTACATCAACTGCGAGTTGAAAAGGCTCTGCTGTCTAAGTATCGAATTAAAATAATACATTTATTGTCTTCTGAAAGCTCTGCATCGTTCAGGGATTAAAGGGTTTTGAAAAACCAAAATACGTAAACATGGCATCAACAAGCAGTGCCGACAATTGTTAAAAATTGTCACAATTTCCTCAATGTATAGCATCCGCTTCATCAAATCTGCTTAACGTAAATCGTTTGAGAATGTAAGCTTGTACTGCTGTACACCAAATACCATTTCCTCCGTGTCCACGGTCCCCACTTTGCTCACGGGTGCATTATATACAAGATTACTGTGGATCTACCCTGAGGCATTGGTGATTTCATTCTCTTTTATCTCCCCACGTTTTTCTCCCTTCATGCCGTCCCCCTTTATTTGGGGGGGGGGGGAAATTAATCCCCCTTTCCCCTCTTGCGACACCCATAGTCCCCGCCCCTCTGCTGCAACATACCTCCGTCAATCCCAGGTCGTATTTTCAGCTCTGGATTTATAAAATAGCTTCGATCATTCTATGGAAGGATGGTTGACAAAAATGACGCGACAAAACTACTACCTTTTCACGTAGAAAACTCAAGCTTCTCTGGACAATTTCTGGAGGCCACCCGGGGCGATTTTTTAGGTAGATAGCGGCATGGTCCTCTTTTTTGAATTGACTAGCATCTGTCGACATGGCTACGTTTCGGGCGCCAAAAGCGAGGTTAACTGGACCTGGGGCCCGGAGGTGCAGGTGCGGCACACACGAGACACACACCTTACCTGGGGTCTGATCAGAGGGTCCCTGGTCTGATCAAAGGTAGCTTGTGTCGTGAGCGATCTGCTGACACGCATAATCACTGTTACTTGACACGCTTTGACACCCGTACCCGTGTGCACGCACTCGCACCTTAGTACATTATGGCGTGCAAAGTTGATATTTAGTCCAGTATAGCAATATCATTTTTAGAAAAAGAGGTATCTCTATTAAACAACAGATTTATACGAGAGCCCTGGAGTGCCATCAAGTATATATTTTTTTGAAAAAGTAAAGTAAATTTTTTCGAAGTTTGTGTCTACGAGATAATTATATGTTTTCCAGTTTCTTTTTACGAAATATATGTTTTGAGATCATTCTCTGTGATTTAAATTGTATTCAATGTTTCTATTTTTGGAATTTTTTTTACGAGATACATGTATATTTTTTTTCAAAGATTGTTAAGGAGATATATTTTTTCAGTTTTGTTTTTACATGTTAAAAATAATTCGAAAAGAGAAACAATGTTTCTAAAAAATAGATCACAGAGGAAAAAAACATATTTTGTAAAAACAAAATTTTGGAAAAAGTATATCTCTTAAAATCCAACTTAAAAAAACAAATATCTCATGCAAACAAATTGGAGAAAAACGTATCTCGTATAAACAAAATTGAAACAAATTTATCTCGTAAAAACAAATGTTTTCAAAAACAGAAACAATGTTTCTAAAAATAAATCACAGAGAACTGTCTAAAAAAATTATATCTCGTAAAAACAAACCTTGAAAACTATACTGCACTTTTTCAAAAAATATAGTTGATGGCACTCCAGGGCTTTCGTAGATTTACAAAATTAAAATTTTGCCTGTCTAGAAATTTGAGATACAGATATCTCTGTTGCGGGATAAAAAAAAAAATCGATTTTGCACGCCATTCCTGAGCATAAAATCCACTGACTATCTACTACAGTGACTACAGAGAATCCGGGTTTTGCGGTGGGGCGGGGGATTCTTTCCTTCAAATGATCTTCCTTTTTTCCACTTCGTTAAGACAATTCTCACCCCTGGATGAAGGTGGCATTGGCGTTTCTAAATTGCTGGTGATTCCAATACTTCAGAAAGCCAAAGCGTGAACGGCACAAAACTAGAATAACCAAATAAGAGGTTTTCCGAGCAGCATGCTTGTTCTTGGCCATTTGTGGGAAGGGCCATATTTTTGTGATCAGCTAAAGTCCTTATTAATTTGGGGTTTCAAACCTCAGCTCCCAACGACTGGCAGATGAGAGCAAAAGCTGTAACTTTATATGAGAGGTCTCTCTTCATTTTCATTTGAAAAAATAAAAGTACTAAATCTCTTGACAATATCCCTCGAATAATGAAGTAATATCGATAAATCAACAAATCGTTTTTGAAACTTGAAAAGTACTGCACTGATAAGTGTTTTCAGTTGTCCGAAAAAATGGACAATTTTAAATGTTACAAAAAGTGTACTTTCAATATACTTAAAATAACATACATGTACATACCGAACAGTCTCAATATACTAATGCAGAGTATAACGTGGTACACAAAATTCGTCGAGGAAGAGTTCATCAAAGGCAAGGGTTGATGGGGGGGGGGTGTCAATGGGTGTCTTTCCCCTCTAAAAAGGGGCCCCAAACTTTTTTTAAAGTAATAAGAGAAAGGCAATTTTCTAAATTACGTTTTCTTTCCAAAAGCATGATAAGAGCCCCAAAATGTAGCCACATTACAAAAAGGCAATAAAAGGTTACAAGACAAACATTTCAAATATTAGTGCCACTCCAACCGAAATTTGGTTCTGCATCGGCCCAAAACTGCATGGGTCCTTTAAACATGAATTAACACAAATACACAATCACATTTCAGACGTCCCAAGAAAACTTTAACTTACCAAACCAAAGATGAAAGAAAGCTTTACAATGGCTGTATAGCATCTAAGTTTCACCTCGCTTTTAAACAAATTCAATCGTTGAAATAAAAGAAAATTTTAAAATTCTGATTAACGAGTTGAAAATAGTAAAACCAGCAAAGTGCTTTCTATTTAACTTTTAAAACCAATAAAGCAGAGTATCAAGTATCTAACCAGTCCTACCGAAACCAAAAGAAGTTATTTCAGCATTTAACAGTTTCAATGTGCTGAAAAGCAGTGAAAAAAGGCAAGAAATTTAAACGAGCTCTGTATGAAAACGACATTCTGATGTTATTTTTGTTACTAATTTTTACCAACATACACCTGTTCCATAGTACCAATTATTAATGGTTAGTTAAGATCAGATAAAAAGACATGATTACTCATGCACCATTCAAAAACAGTTGTGTAGGCTTTTGTTATCAAATAAGAAGTGACATTGATACATCTTTGTCAAGGTACTTTTGTTCAAAGATTAAAGAAGAGGAGAGAAGCATGGAGACTATAATCCTGACTGCAACTGGCCCTGGGTCACAGTTCTACTGAGCTACTCCCTGGTTACACAGCCAGCAGTGGAAAACACTACTCCAGGAAGATGTTGAAAGCAGTGAATTACATTAAAATAGAACACACTAAGCTCATGAGAACATTAGCACATGTCATAATCACTACTAATAGCGTGAAAGAAATATTTGCAATATCAATTCACATACGGACCAATCAAGAAGTTAATTAAAAGATATAACAACATGATTTCACTTATGTATCTTTACAAAAGATTCTTCTAACTGAAATGGAAAAGAGAAAAACAAAGACTGGTCATATGTTTTGTAAACAAATTTTCTCCAGGAAGACCCTTGACAAAGACATATCAATAAGGAGTTTTGAATTAATACACAAGCCCACCTACATAGGTGCCTCTTGTGGTTTTCTTCCAAGAAGCAAGACAATAGGAGATTTGGCACTTATCTTGGCATCTTCTGCAGGACAATCAAAACCTAAAATCTCCATCAACCTGGAATGACATTGACAAAATGTCAACAAAGTCAAAACTGCAAGCATACAGACTTGAAGATGCTATTATCAGCTGCCAACAGCAGTTTGCTAGAGTTAAAACTCACTTGGGTAATGCAACTCTATTTCCTTCGTTCTAAGACGTTAAATATAACTTCAACTTTGCTCCTTAATCAAATGTGCATAGATGAAAAACATGAGAATGGGATTTAGGACAGGGTTTATTTCCTTATTTTTCTTTTGCAACATTTCGCCTTAAATTTGACTGAACTCCACTTTGAGGGAAACAAAGTCATTCATTTGGCTAATGATGACCTGTAAAAAAAGAGTTGTAAAAAAATGCAAAATTTAACCTTACAAAAGTTGCTTCCAAAGAAATGCTTGCTCAGTGGATACACAAACCAGCATTGAATCAATCTGTGCATTTAACTGAAGAGAAAATACCGAGCTTAGCAGAAACCTTTGTTCTTACCGTTCCTGTAACTCCTTGAGGATATCAGGGCCACTTGGATTCTTCTCTGAGTATGCTTGATACCCAGACCAAGATCGGATGTAGTCCATGTAAGATGACATTGTTGTGTCAAGTCGCATGTCAAATGATTCATCCCTGTGTCCAAAGGCAACAGACAGAAATTCTTGCAACTGTCATCAGCTCATAAACTTCTGAGATATGACCAGTCCCCAAAGGATCATCTATACACTCTCCTCAGGCAGGCATCACATGCAGGCATCAAATAGCAAACTATGGTACATGTATATTGCAACTTTACAGAAATACCGGAAACACTTTTTAAAAAAATGCTGCATGAGTATAATATTCTTGACTGGCCCTGTGATTTCGCTTAACACATAAATTTACTTAACAATATTACTGCTCTTGGTTCCATGATATTTGTGACCCAAAATTCCCAAACCTGGCTGAAGTAGTTCATTTTGAACTGGGAAGTTTCCTCTTACTACTGTTAATTTCCAAACTTCAAAAAAGTGACCCAAAATAAAAACTATCTGAAGAAAGCTTTGACAGTTACCAGCAATGAGTTTGTGGACTTTGCATCGGTCAAAATGTAACTGGAATATTTCCAGATAAAAGCTTATCGTTCTGTGGACTGATTGTAGACAGGTGGATCGCATTTGGTACATGTCTGGACAGCTTTCAAGTTTCAGGCATGATGTTCATGTACCTGAGAGTTTCTTCATAAGGAATGTGGATATCTGCCAGATTGTTATGAAGATGTCGTGCACAGTGACTGGTGTACGGTCCTAAAGTTACTCTGTCAAACTGTTAAAGATAAAGAAGAAAATACCATACAATTATTGTTCAGCATCTAACTTTTCACAAGTGCAGGGTTCATCAGGGGAAAGTCCGAGGGTCAACTATAGTTAACTATACTTCTACTAGTACTGCCCAAACGTTGGATGGTTTGGATTATCTAGTTGACACTTTGGGACCAGACCCCAGGGCATGGTCGCACAGGTGGTCATCAAGAGCGGATTTCATTTACCATAACGGAGGGAGCCATTCACATGAAAATAATTGTAGGAGATTTAAATGACCATGAATGCTGTGAGAATCGCAGCCAACGGTGAAATGTGAGCAACGATGAGATTTAAAAAAAAAAGCCCAATTTGGTCGTTCGAGTGTAACTGAATTGCAAATGCACGTTGTTAAAAAGCAACTGACTGCTGGTCGATCTAAAGTTTCAACCTGAACTTGCCCCAAGAGCCTTGATCTTTGTTCCTTGGACAGCCACGAAGTGACTGTAGTAGTTGAAAAAGCTCATTTTGGGTAAGTCTATGAAGTGAAGGCTGTAGAGTGTGACATTTGGACCAGTGTTAATTGAGCCAAGCCCATCACAAGTCCCTGTTAATCCATCACAAGTCCCTGTAAGTCCATCACAAGTCCATGTAAGTCCATCACAAGTCCCTGTAAAGTCCATCACAAGTCATCAAGTCTTAAGCCAAGTCACTCTTCAAACAACCTGTGACAAAACCATTTCTTTGTTGCTGTTCACACTGCAACTTACATGTATAACTTGGCCTTGTAACAGGATTTGTGACTGCATGGACTTAAATACAAGACGGTTTGCAGTTACACCACGTGAACAAATAATTCTCTTTAGTGAGCCTGTGTGGTTCTGAAAGAACTGGCATTTTCACTCACAAAAACAGCGTGCTGTTTGTTTTTAGAAGCATTGAGTGAAACTTCTTGTTCTATTCAGAGCATACACGGAGATGTTGCATTCGGGGCCAATCAGAGGGCAGGATAAATTCATCAACCAGTAATCAGCCAAGCAGAGTACAAGGGGACCTGATGCATAGCTACACAAATCTCAGAGGCTGTGAAGCTATTTTTTGGACTCCATGAAGGCTGAAGTCTAGTTTGTGAACTTGATTCTTACCTGAAAAATCATGTCAGTCACTAGTCTGTTCTTTTCCTCATCGCCTTCAACGCAAGGACGTATGTTGTGGTACATATAGATTGCAACGCATCCGCAGGGTTTGAGTATGCGGTCTACCTCACGAAAAAATGCCTCCAGATCAAACCAATGCACTGCTTCTGCACATGTGATTAAGTCAACGGAGCTGTCGGGCACTGGAATGCTCTCCCCTTGACCTTTTCTAATTTTTAGACAGACAGACATTACTGTTGGATGTACTGGTAGGTGTAATTACTCTATGAAATGATGTACAAATTTGTTAGGCAACACAGTTGTTTCTTAGAAAGAATACTTCCTCACCTATATTCAACATTTGGTGGATTCTCCACTGATTGTGCAGCTCTTATCTGTGCTTCGCTCACGTCAACGCCGATGACCTTTTCAAAATATGGGGCCAAAGGTCGTGTATTCTGGCCTGATCCACACCCTACATCAACTGCGAGTTTAAAGGGATCTGGTTTCTGCATATCAAATGTTAAAAACTTATAAATTCCTTGCGCAAGTTCTGGGATGCTTGCGACCCAAACAAATTCTTCCCATCTGCGTAGACTAATGCAAGTGATGCATTAAATTTCCAGGAATCAACAATTTGACTAGCGATTCACATAGGCATCTGATTATTCAAAGTACATGTAAAACACTAACATAATAATCTGTGTTGACCATGGCCCCCATTTGGGCTGGCCAAGAATTAAGTCAACCAGTCATCCATGATTCCAGCACATTTTAGACATTCATTAGGATAGTAACACAATGTAGATAAAGTCATCTCATTCATTAACTCGAGCAACTCCAGCTAAATAGCATGCCTAGCCCGTATGCTTGAGGCATCTGGAAAAAAGTTACAAATTTCCAGACGTCTTGAGTGCTATTTTATTAATTGATTTCTTTGCTTCCGTTTTACATTGTTTGGATTGTGTTTTATTTCGCTGTGACATCAATTATAACATGTGCTAATCTGCTTAATATATACGTATGCCACCTGTTACATAAACATTTATCTACATGTAGGTCTTTGTCGGCCAAGAAGTTTTTCCATGTTATGTCCCCGCCCCCTTCTACAATGCCCTCGGGTATTTGTCACTGAGGTCACTCAGCCAGAAAACGAACCAAGCTTGGTCGGCTACCGATAGCAAAATTAAAAGTAGATCTAACCTTTTCACGTAGAAATGCCAGGTTCTTCTGGATAATTTCCAGAGGCCAGTCGGGGCGACATTTGACGTAAATGGCGGCATGGTCCTCCTTTTTGAAAATACTAGTATCTGTTGACATATTGCTAGCTGCGAGCTCAGTAGGTGGGACCGGCTAGGGTTAAAATTTCGCGTGACTTGCAGGGCGCCACCTTGTGGTCAGTGTGCGACGTAAAAATTATTAGTTCCTGCAACGGCATTTTTTGCAAAGTGGATCTCGTACCAGATTTGATTTGCTCTATGAAATTACTAAACCGATCGATGTCGCGGGTATTTGTTCCTGTCACACCGGCCTGCGCATTGCATGGATCGTCCAAACACGTCATTCTTGATAAAACTTAGCTAACCCTACTTTCAATGTCTCCAGCGAAGTGCAAGGAAGCAAAAAACTACATGCAGAAGCTTGAGTAGAGGATTGGATTTAACCAAATGTTTGTGGTGTTTCCTTGACTGCCTCCAAGTTTTGTGAATTGTTGAGTGGTATTTCTGCCATATTATTTTCCGTCTTGTAAATCATGCTGAGTTTTCTTACTTTCCTTCTCGTTTCCAAGGGTTTTCCAAAGATCCTTGACAATTTACTTTAGTGGCTGTACCTGGTGTATTTTTGCAGTGTGCCAATTCATGAAAATTCTCCGCCAGGACGAGGCGCTTAAAAAGTACCTTTCTTTGGGGGGTGGGTTCTTTTGGGCGGATAATTAAAAAAATCATTAGTTAACCTACTAAAACTTGAACATCAAATGGGAAATCTGAAGGACCAAACAACACATTGTTTTTGTTTGAGAGGCATCAGGGACTTCAGTTGCCTGCCATGGCCACTGGCGTAGCTAGGATTTTTCTAGTGGGGGTCACTAGGGGCATCATGGAGGAAGGCACCAGCATCTTATTGGGGGTTGCAAGGATGCTGAGTTTTTGGGGGCAAGCTTTTGTTAGCCTTGTTAAATATCCATTTATCTGTTGATGTTGTTTTTTTTTTAGTGTGGGGGACACCTAGGGGGCACCAGGAATTTGTAGAGGGGACACGTGCCCCCAGGCTACGCCACTGGCCTTGGGGCTCCAAACTTTGTTGATTTTACACTATCAATCGAGCTTGAATTTATAGTTCAGTGCACACATATACGGATATCAATTTGGACGCGCACGCGACGTACGCATGTGTACACGCTTGAAGAGCGCCACCTTGTGGTTGGTGCGCGACGATTATTCGTTTCTGCAACGGCGGATTTGATTTAGGTCAACTTGATGTTCTTGTTCACCGAGTCTTTTGTCGCAGGTAAAGACAAATTCCAGTGTTTCCTCCAAGTACACACATTTGCAATTGATCTGAATTTATTTCATAGATGTTGCCATAAATGATGTGATTGGTGTGCTCACATCAGATCTCATTTTGAGCGCAGGGTGTCGGAAATATGTGTGTTATCGCTAGGGCTATACATACTGTCATGTAAAAAGATCCGTTGCAGTTTTGAACATCACCTGCTATTAGTGCTAAAGATTTTTTGGGGGGGAGGGGATCCCCAAATATGCAGTGCCCCTGTGTAATGTAACGTAGTTCATACAACTAGGACTACAAAATCTGTTTGTTAGTGCATTGATTTTGTCGAAATGTTTAAATCCACTAGGGCCTATGTCATTGCAAATTCATCCTTGCGATTAGCCTCGGAAAAGCAATAGCATGTCCTAAAAAGTAAAAATTAGCTGGGAAAATTTTGCAACACAAGGCCGACTTACTTAGATATGTTGGAAAATCTTTCAGATCAGTCTCATAGGCAGCATAGGGTTTATGCAGAGGGTTTCAAGTAATGTCTGTGTATAGAACTCTTTCTCCTTGTAAAATCCCATGTAGGCCTAGCCAATTTTTATACATCCCCCAAAACTTACATGCGCGTGTACTTCAAGAAGTACATGATATGTAAAATCATTGTAGCCTAGGTTGGATTCTTAGTCATGTTTTGGTTTTCCAAAGGGCAAGTGATTTTTAAAATCATTGGTTTTTAACCCAAAATTTCGTTTATATTCTTTAACTATGATTCTTGCCCATCTTTGGATTTTTTTACAAATGGAAGCAGCATCAAGGGACCATCTTTCAAGTCCCTAATCACTAACAAATGCACAGAGCTCAACTGCTGTAAAAATAGCAGCACCAACAGCAAATAATGAAACATACATTCATTTGACTCTGCATTTGTAACCATTTCTCTCAGTTTCAACCCAAAATTTTTCTTCCTCCACAGCTGTGTCCAAATAGCAACATCACATGTTTATGCACAAGTAGGGTATAGCTGTGCCTTCCTGTATCGGCCCTGGGAAGGAGGTGTTGTGGCTCCTACATTCATTGGACACATCGCACAAAGTGAAAACCATGGAGCTGTTTTGGACCACTCTTGGCAGTCTTGCGTCCTGGTTGACTCACGTTCTGATTGAGTTCAGCCTCTTCATAGCAGTAGACTCAGTTGTGAAGGCCTCGTTGCCCTCGCTTAGGTGAGTGACGTCAACATTGCTTTGGAAACTGCAGACTTGCTATTCCACATTGGGCTGAAGCAGGTCCTCTTGGTTTGTATTTTTGTTCCATGCCTACCGATCCAAACTGAAGTTCTAAATGCAGAAAGCTGGGTGATTTCTGCTGCCTGAAACTTTAACCAATCACAGCTGGAGCAATAGCAAACGTCTGATGTGCATATCGCAAGGGATGCATGTATATGTATTGTAGCCTCCCTGTTTAGTAGACAGCTTAATTTGCGTGTTCTCTGGCAGTCACAGAAGCTGTTATTGAACAATTTTTCTTGCAATTTAAGCCTAATTTTTGGATGGTGAGTCCCAGACATGGATCACTATACACTTACTTGTTATTCAAAACTGATAATTACATGTATGTTCAGAGTGTTGAAATGTTGCTCATTTAACTGAATTGGTACACGTTTCCAATGAATTGATTTTTAAAAATGCAAGGCATTATCATAGCCAATGAGTAAACAGGAAAAAATCATTAGATCATACGTACCTCATTTTTCTCTCGGCAGAAATTCCAAATAGTTTGTCAATACGCAAGTGTCTGAAATCCTTCAGTGTCTAACATCTCGCTTGGCAGTACATTCATTGTAAGAAATCGCAGACTACAAACAGCCAACCACTGTTTGTCTAAGTTTTATTACTCATTTGAACAGTGATTCATTTTGGAGGATTGAAGAAGGCTCCCACTAACTATTGCTAAGGAGGAGTTAAACCAGTTTTCTTGACTGTTTTGCATTTGCAGAGAAGCTAGAGAGCGACAATGGTTGTGGTTTCTGGAATCGGTTGCACTACTGGTTTTAGTTTTGTTTCTGACTTTGTATGACCGCACACCCTACCTTCTCCTCCTGCTAACCATGGCCACCTTGGTCTTTGCTCTGGCCTATGATTGGCTGAAACAACTCTCTGATGGACAAAGTGGAACCCAGAACTTAAGACGTTCGCACACAACAGTCAATGTTGTAAACTCGACTGTGCATTTGAACGTGGCATCCTAAAAAATGCCCCACTTTGTGACCAATTGTTAGTGGCAGACCGAAATGAATTTCCTGTTTCTTCAAACTTGCAGAGATCCTGTGGAGCGCAGTAGGATGTGGTTTCTGGAATCGGTTGTACTGCTGTTTATTGCGATGTTCATGAGTCAGTTCAGCCACATTCCATATGTTCTCTTCATCTTGGCCTTCAGCACCATCCTGTCAGCTGTTCTTCACGATCGGATCGATGGGCAAAACTTGAAAACGCTTCTACCTTCTGCAAGAGAAACTGAACCTAACTTAAACAATGGTACGTGTATGTTGACTTCGCTCAACGGTTCAGCTCAGTCTGGAAAGTATCAGAATTTTGGTTCTGGGAGATTACGATATCATGCTAGAGACAAAATCAGTGACAAAACTCAAGTGCCTGCAACTACCCCAGTCAGAATGGACAACAAAGGTCTACTTGGAAACTGGCAGTCATACTTCCTGGCTGTGTTAAGGAGGAAGCCACCAGAATGCCAGCCACCAGGCTTACCAAATAGAGGAAAAAATCTTTGCTTTCTCAACGCTGTGCTTCAGTGCTTAGCCCATGTGCAGTCCTATGGAAATCTGGATCAGTTTTTTTCAGAAATAAGCAACAGATCTCAGGAAAATAATTTCATTGATTGCTACAGTGAGCTAGTGGCCAATTGCACTGTTGGAGAACACTTCTCTGGTGCAGTTCTCAACACCTTGCCATTTCGCAGAGCTGCGTCACAACTTTGCCCTGGATTGATCGCAGACCCGACAAGGGGTCGTAAACAGACACAGCAGGATGCAGCCGAGTTCTTAACGTGGCTCTTAACCACTCTGCATAACATCTTGAGAAAAGGCCCCTGTACTGCAGGATTCTCCAGTGATTCAGGTTTAGAGAAGCTCACAGACAAGGAGCAGCATTGTCTTAAAGTAGAGTGCGAGATGTTGTTGCAAGCTGCCCAGTCAATGTACGACGGGAGATGCGTCAAAGCAGTTAAAGCTCTTTCTGATTTGGATTGGAAGCATCAACAAATCCATGAGAGATCTATCATCAGTGACCTTTTCTCAGGTCAGATCCTTGAGCTGCGGGAGGGTGGCAAGCAGAACTGCGTATCTCTCAGCATCCAAGCTTTTAATGTTCTTCCTGTTCCGCTATCTGGGCCTCGTCAGGTGTCAGGACTTGTTTACTTGCAAGACTGCATCGGTGATATGTGCATTCTCACGGATGTGTCAGTCGACTCGCCTTCAACGTCTTTAGCGTCACCACCTGCTGGACAGTTTGGGAATAGAAATATCGATGATGTCAAGCTAGAGAATGTTGTTAATCTGTCAAGGCCTCCTTTGCTGTCGTCCACTCCTACCAAACCTGATGCATTAACCCATCTCCCCGAAAGTCCTACCAGTGTATCCAGAGAGTTCCGCTGCCAGACTTCTCTACGCTATCTACCAAAGTGTCTTGTCATCCAGCTGAATCGATTCAACCAGTTTGGCCGCAAGGCCAAGACCCCTGTCAGTATTCCCCTCCGTGGCCTGAACCTTAATCCGGCCTTGTTTGACCAACAGGTTGCTGGGCAGCCAACACTTGTTAGCCGAAGTTGTATGTACGACTTGGCTGCTCTGTGTGTCCATGAAGGAGCCCAAAGCTCTTGCTACGGTCACTACGTCGCCTTCTGCTTGGCTAGTAATGGTCACTGGTATCGTATGGATGATGAGATTGTAAGAGAAGTAAACATGCTATATGAATGCAGCTCTCCGACTCTCAGAGAAAATGCATATCTCTTGTTTTATATGAGACGACATTAAGATACATGTACCAAGTGCTAAATTATTACTTATGTGACTTATTTTTCCAAAGTTTGAATATTTACATGTAAATGTAGTCAAATTTTAATTGTTCTAGTAGCATATATCCAGGAAGTGATTTACCACTTACAATAATACAATAATCCAATACATACATGTACAACTTAGCCCACCTAAAATGATTGTGTATGCCATAATTTGTTGTGTAAGTCGCAGATGAAATTTTCTCTTTATTTGTTGCGCAGCTTTCACAACAACACGCGACGTAAGTAAAGTTACACTGTTATTTAAAGTTTTGTGAATTGGCTGCTGGTTTCTTAGAATAGTTTTTCAAATTTAATTGACAGTGTGCTACGCTGAGACATATACCGTATCATACATCCCATGGTGCTTAGTCCAAACTATGTACGTGTGCATGTACAGGATTGAGTTATTGAAGCAGTATCCTATCCAGTTCATTTGTTGTGGAATATTGTTGTTAGCATTGTTTAAGATGGTAAACCTTCTCTGCAGTGATGATTTTAAATGAAATTCTGCTGTAATGTTGTACATTGCATGTTGAAAATACTCCTTTTTTAAAATTTCAATCTGTAGTTGTTGACACACTGCACATATTTTTACTTGTGCATGCAAAGAATTGAATATTTTAGAGAAAGTTGTGCAATGGCTACGTAAAATTTCACTTGTGTAGCTGACGTGTTTTGTACATGTACACCAATGCCTTTAATTAAAAAAAGGAACAAATATTTAAATAAGTTCTCAGCACACGAAAATTCGTCTTAAAGATACTGTATGTGTGTAAAATAGTTCATCTCCAAACTACAAATATTCACATTTTCAGAGTGCCTGAATTTTAATGAAGATTAATTTGCAGTTGAAGTATCATTGAAATGTAGCAGTTTTTAAGGATCACCGAAATTTGTTATCTCTTATTTTATGCTGAACCCCCATGCTTTTAGATTTTTCAAATCCACTGCAGTCTGACAGTGTCTTGAAGGGGTTTCATGGAGTTTGGAAAAACATTGAATTACTCAGGCTATGTGTATATTTGTACATGTAAATTCCAGACATTTTTAAGTGTTTTACCTGTAAAATAACACTAAACACTTCAAGGAAAATATTTGTACAATGATTTTTACAAATTTTCTTCATGGTACATGTACATACATGTATACAAAGATGTCGGCAGAGTACAGACTGTGTGACCTTTAACTTAGTCCCATTGGCTTTGAGGCTCTCTAAAAACTGGATTTGTGTGGTGTTAGTTTTAGTGTGGAGTCCACACAAAGAACTCAATACAGTCTGAGATGAGTATTCCAAATGACAAGGGTACACAAAAACATGTTTATCAACATAACAAGACTGCAGTATATTCTATCAGTACACACAGAAATGAATGTTCACCAGTCTGACATTTACTGTAAATACCATTCTCTCTCTAAACAGCTGTCCCCATCTGAGTTTGAATAAACATAAAATCACCAGAGCAAGTGTCAATTTCTCTCGTATATGCTGTTGGCAAACCATAGCACACGCATTTCAGCACTTATTGTCAGCTTGCGTGTGCACCTGCCCTAAAAGTACTTATTGTGTGGCTGAAAAGAATGTTTGTAAAATGCCTTCCTAGTGAAGCGTGTCCAAAAAATCGGCATTGTGGGAGATATTATGGGTCTTTGTGCATTCATCCGTAAGCAGCTTTTACCCCAGGAAATAGTGAAGTGCAAAGTGACTAAAAATAGCACGCTGTGGAAAACTGAAAACTGAAAAGCTGTGTGTTTAGCCACCGGGGGTCATCATATACACATATGTATGTGTGAAGAAAATCTTGAGGCCATTTAGCCAGCAAACTGTGTCAAGTCACACAAGTGACCTTGGTAGAAGAAAATCCTTTGTGGAATGGAATGTAGATTGACCTGAGACGTTGAGCAGTGCCCTGACTTTTTATGTCTGTGGATTTGTCTGAAAGGAACATACAAGCTGAGTAGGTGGACTTTACAAGTAAGTGAGCAATTCTGTTTTCAAGTGCATTTTTCACTTACATTTACATGTACCATGTACATAACTCACTAGTGTAATTGTTGAAATGGTTGAAAACACCAAATTTTGGTCTCTGTATCAAAAGACGTACCTATCATTTTCCTCTGCTTTAATCCATCCATTGTAAACTGAGCCTAGTAGATGCCAAGGACTATCATTGTTTTTAGACTGACGTGGTAGTGATAGCACACTTGGCTAATCATGAGAGAAGTCCAGTGCTCATCTATCTGTACATTTCTATCTACAGGACCCTTTTTCTCTCGCCGATCAAAATTGAACTCATGACAAAAATGGAAACAGACCAACTATGCTCTGATGATGGCGCCTCGTTGGAAGACCAGAGGCTGCATTCCTTCACTGGTAGCCACTGTAAGACAATGATGCAAACACTGAACAGACTGAGGAAACAGTCTTTGCTCTGCGATGTCACCGTGGTGGTAGAAGGAGTAGAATTCCCTGCTCATCGTGTTATATTGGCCGCATGCAGTAACTACTTCTGTGCAATGTTTACAAATGAGGCAGGTGTCAAGTTAATCTGTGTCACAGCACATTTAGTCAGTGCTTCTAACATTTTTAGAATTGAGTGTTGCCTCTAGAAGATCAACAAGGAATATTTGAAAGATAACCCAAGTGTCTAATGTAAGTTCCTACATGTATGTATTTTCTTTTAGATGAGCGAAAGTACTAAATCAAGTGTAGAACTCAAAGGCCTGAAAGCCAGTGCAATGGAAAAGCTGTTAGAATTTATTTACACAGAGGAAGTGGAGGTAACTGTGGAGAATGTCCAAGAGCTACTGCCGTCTGCTTGTCTCTTGCAGCTCAAAGGTCAGTCTTGAAAAAAAAACTGGAAAAATGGTGCAGAAGTGCTACCTTTTTAACCCTTGTACAAGAAAGTCATATGGCATTGTGAAAATATTTACTGAAAATACAACCAGCCACTTTTCTGCCTTGATCCTGCTTTGTTTGCCCAACTTCCTGCTAGCCTGAGCTAGCTTGTGTTTACTATTACATTCCACTGAAGTGTTTCAACAAAATCTGTGCTGCATATGGATGCCTCTTATGCATAACTTTAAGTAAATGTTTCTAGAGCATTAGCTGACACAGCTCATTGGAGAGTGAGAAGTTACTCTGGCTATTACAGCTACGTTGTGTTTAAGCAAACGTTGATATTTGCGGCAGTGAGTAGTGAGTCATTCTTTTCTAATTGTGTTAAGTCTTTAAATGGTCTGTGTGAATGGTCTTTATCTTTACCATTTCACAGCATCCAGGTCTTGGGTGGGGGGGGACGGCAAAATGGAATTTCTTTTTTCAGAATGACTGTCCTAGTATTGTTTTTACCTGAAAAAGCCTCCCCCTCTCCCCACCCTGCCAAGAACAGGTGTGGTTTCAAAAGTTTGAGTGTCTTCAATTAATAAAAGTAAGACACTCGGCAACCTGTCTCTAAGGGAGAAACTGGCCCACGTCCCCCTCTGGAGACACCATTACTATATCGTCTTTGATACACCCTAAGAACTAAGCTCATGCTTCTTGTCAGCTAGTTACATCAAGTGTTTAAATTGTAACAAACAGCATTCAGCTTCTTCTGATCGTAAATATTGTTCCTTTTATTTACAGTTATTTCTCTGTCTGTAAAATCTTTCAGGTGTGGAAGATGCATGCTGTGCCTTTCTCACTACACAACTTGATGCTTCTAATTGCATTGGGATCGCCAAGTTTGCTGAGAGTCATGCATGCATGGGACTCCTAAACGCTGCCGAGGGATACGGCTGTCGTTACTTTAGTGAAATAGTGAAACATGAAGAGTACTTATCTCTAGAAGTAGATGAAGTGGCTAAGCTCATCAAGAGAGATGACTTAGAGGTAGGATTTGGCCACAAAATTGCTTTAAAATGCTTGTGTTTTGTCCAATTTAAATTACTTTGCGTAAAGTGCTTCATAGAAAAATGGACCTTATTTGACTACTACAGGCCACTGGAAGAATCCCCCTTCTTGGAATTCACTGGTTCTCTGTCCCACCTCCAGGCCATTTATAGTCATATCATATCCCCTTGGGTGTTTGCATTTAACCAGGTTGAATGTGAGGAGCCAGTGTATGAAGCCGTGATGATCTGGGTCAACCACAATGCATCAGAAAGACAGGATCTTCTTCCTACATTACTACAAGATGTCCGTATCCCCCTTATGACACCCAAGTTTATTACAGACGTTCTTGACAAGGAGGTAAAAGTATGGAGATTGTTCTAATATAATAGAGATGTGAAAAGCAGATGGAGTTAGATACCATGTCCTCAAACACTGATTTGGGGTTTTAAACCATTAAACAGAGATGACTACGGCAATGCAATTGATTTCTTACAGCCTTTAATCAGGCAGAGCTTAGCCTGTAGGGATCTCGTTGATGAGGGAAAACGATTTCACTTACGTCCTGATTGTAGAGCAGAGATGACTGGAAGTAATTTCCAGTCAAGAAGTGGTAAGTGTTTTGTCCTTTGTTGTGAGCTGAATTCAGTCAGTCACTTTTCATGTATTATGCTTGTTAGTTAAAGGAAAAAACTACAAATGTAGCTGTCATCTCATATCCTTGAAGATAATTTAAAACCTAGAGTTAGCATTGCATAAAATTTGTGCCTTGTTTAAAAATACTGAGCTAAATATCATTTCTGATTTAATTATCAAATATTTGTGTTTGACGTGTTTAAGATTCCCCACGGATCACCAAGTGAAAAGTTTTTACTGAAATGTTTTTACTAAAATGTTAAAACCAGTAAAGGTAATGACCAGCAAAAGATGACAAATGTGATCGGATTTGACTGGTAGGGGTTTGAAGTCTGATATGTTAACAGGGTAATAATAACCGAGATTTTCCTTCCGAGGGAGAGCCTACATCTGTACATCCTGTCTGTAGGGTCAAGCCTTGTGCCTGTGACTATTTCTATAGGTGGAGATGAAAGGCTCGTTGTGATTGGTGGATTTGGAAGCCAACAGGTTCCACTGAATATCGTCGAGGAATACAGCCCAAAGACAAAGGAATGGCACTCCTTACCAGTGAGTCATGCACATTTTGGGCATTTTTGGTCTGTAAGAAAAAGCATTGTTATTATTGATTGATTAGATCATTTCCAGTAATTGTAAATCTCTTCAATGGGCTTGTCAAGACGTTTGCATTCACCCATACACTCAGAAATTTCTCATTAACCCATAAAATATACTTGCAGTAAGCACCACGTCATTTACATCAGCTGCAAGCTGCTGTTTTTTTCCTCAAATGTAAGCAAAGGATAGCTGTGCTTGAAAACCATTAAGCAAAGTAAGTTCTAAAAAAGACTAGCTGTGATGCGAGTCTCACCTGAAGTTGTTCCTCATCAGAGGTTCTCCACTGAACTACCACTTACTTCATAAAAGAGATACACCCAGAGAGCTAGATGCAGAGCACCTTTTCCCTGTGGTAAACACCGTGTAAAGTGTCAAGTATTACTCAAACTAATTTACCTTGACAGGACTTGAGTAGAAGACGGCGTTATTTAGCCGCCGTGATGCACAGTGCCCATATCTATGCTGTTGGAGGTTATGATGGCTCAACAAGACTTAACATTGTAGAATGCCTCAAGTTTACTCAGGGTCAACCCACCTGGGTGTCGATGGCCCCTTTGAATGTCAAGAGAGGACTGCCAGGGGCTGCAGTGCTTAATGGTGATGTTATTTCTAAATTTAATTTCACTTTATGCCGAAGAAACTGCCAATCAGTGTTTTTTCTGTCCGAGTCACCCAATCAGTGAATACACCTAGTTGAATAGCTTCATTTGGGAGACATCACAAATTTTAATTTGCTTCTCTTTATTCAAGGTCGTAGATGATGTTAATGACTGTTGTATGACATCGCAACGTTACAAACATTATCTTCATCCTATACTTTTTGTAGGAACTGATATTTCTCAAGGTTTGCTAGCCCTTGTAAGCACTATTTCAAAATTGTATGAATACATGAAACTATTAAAGGGAAAGTGAGATTCAAACAGTTATATGTTGAGATGGGCATAAGTGAAAGGACTGGAGTTTACACCCTATGTATCTTTTTGTGACAAGTATTAATCTTCACAGTATATTGGAGTTTTCTTCTCCATTTTGATGAAAACCTGCTGTCTTGGCGACAGTCCTATCTAGCCCTGTTTCTACCAAATCAATAACCTATTTTGAAGAATTTTGACAGAAATGGGACTATGAAGCCCCACAAATATTGCTTTATAAATAGTTGATGTCTAGAAGATTGACCACAGCTGTTCCAAATCCTATAAAATCCAACCATCTGGTTTTGCAGTATGTTGATGGATTCAGGGCTGTATTGGCCCAGCCACCATTACCACACACAGTGGGTGATAACTAAATGGTTGACCACAGCTGTCCCAAATCCCACAAAATCCAACACATGATGGATTCTACACTACACAATCTGTCACTGCTTGGTCTTTATATCTGTTTTAGCAATGAGAATAAGCACCAAATGTAGCCTAACTTCTCAGAAAGGCCACAAAAGCCGAATACAGAATTTTTCAAGCTTTCCTGCCCGCCATGACTCCCCAGTCTTGTTCCCCCCCCAAAAAAAGGTTGGTTCTGGATCTTCCATGTACATACATTTGCAGTTTTGTAGATGAGGGCAAGGCAGGATTTGATTGAATGGTCAGTGAGAGGGCAACTTGTAGAAATCCCAGCTGACGTCCCTGACATTGCGTGCCTGAATTCATTTTTCTTTGACTACAGATGCTATATACGCTGCTGGAGGCTTTGATGGAAATACCCGGCTGACATCTGCTGAATGCTACGATCCTCGCATTGACCGCTGGACCATGATTCAAGACATGAACACTGGACGAGAGGGTGCTGGCTTGACCACGGCCAACTCAGTGCTATATAGCATTGGTGGATATGACGGCAACAGCATACTGGATTCGGTTGAGATGTTTGATTCTCGGAGTGGACAGTGGTCGGCTGTGGCCTCCATGAAAGTCAAACGATCAGGTAATCCCATGTTAGTTTCATGGCCTGTTGTAGGCCATCATGTAACCTGTTGAAAGACTAGCGTGTAATGCATGGAAGGAGTTGGATTTGCGATCTGGTTTGTAATCTAGTCATTACTAATTTTGGATTTTTTGCCCTGTCCGATGTGTATTTTAACTCTGTATACTCAATGTATGCCCCTGAAGGCTTGTGAAAAAAATCACAAGCGTACTCAGGTGGGACTCAAACCCACGACCTCCTGCTTACTAGTGCAGACATCTTAACCACTTGACCACCAAGCTTGCCGGTGTCGACTGGCTGGTTAAAATCAGATGTAGCAGCGGGTACCGTGACAAACTATTTCAAGGATTTCCAGTCATTACTAGTTAGCCATTTGTTGCCTTACAAGTCTAGTCCAAAGTTAAGTTGCAAACTGTTCGGTTGAACTGTGAGAAAGGCAGTCCAATTAACTTGTGACTTGTTACTGGGATGGAGGTTGAACTGTGAGAAAGGCAGTCCAATTAACTTGTGACTTGTTATTGGGATAGAGGTTGAACTGTGAGAAAGGCAGTCCAATTAACTTGTGACTTGTTATTGGGATAGAGGTTGAACTGTGAGAAAGGCAGTCCAATTAACTTGTGACTTGTTACTGGGATAGAGGTTGAACTGTGAGAAAGGCAGTCCAATTAACTTGTGAACTGTGAGTTGTCAGCGCTCTCAGCATTCAGCCATTTAACATTTTGTATACTTGCTATACTTGCTAATTTTGTATACTTTTTAAAACTTGACTGCATTATAAATTTTATAGGAATTGACATTTGTTAATTTGTGCACTTTTAAAAACTTTAATCTCAATGCCGAGCATGCAAATTAAAGTCTAAAAATGTTTTTCAAAGTTCAATTTGCATGCTAAGCATTGCAGATTTAACGTCAAACAGGGAATTGCATAAGAAATGGTCATTGCATATTCAATGCACTCATCACTGATTATCATGATAATGAATGTTTCAAACAGGAAAGTTGTCATTTTGTTGCTCATTTTTTTCTTTCAATTGAATGAACGCCTCTCCCCTCAGGTGCTGGTGTAGCCACAATCAATGATATGATCTACGCCGTTGGGGGCTTCAATGGTTCCCATCATCTGGCCTCAGTAGAATGCTACAATCCGAGAACCAACTCCTGGTCTCTTGTAGCTAGCATGACCACAGCTAGGTGCTATGTGGGAGCTGTTGCTATACAGGGCAAAGTTTGTGCCGTCGGAGGGTGCGTCTACATACATGTCTACAACCAAATGAGTTTTGATACTCGGTGAAAACAAAATTGATTCATTCGCAAATCTTTTGCAGTTAAAAAGAACCTGTGTTGTATTATTCAGTTGAATGCAAAGTTACAAATGCATTTTTAACAATGCCAAAATGGAAGTTTACCAATAAAGTAGAATATAAATTACTTACTTCATAATGTAGAAGTGTCAAAAATGACAGAATCAAAAATCTCCAACCCTTGATTATAATCAAGTTCACAATCAACACCAGCAAATAAATTTGATATTGGAGTAAAATCTTTGCGTAATTGGTGTAACACATCACCAGTGATGGTTTTTATATTCTTTTCACTGTTGTCAGATATGATGGAAGAAGTCTTCTTAACACTATAGAAACATACGATCCAGTCAACGATAGTTGGGCTCTGGAAGGAACAATGGCTCAGAAACGCTGTGATGCTGGAGTCTCTGTGCTACGAATGAGTGACCCAAGAGTTAGCGCTGTATAATAAGGAACAGATTATTATTTTGGCACACCTAGCGTGGAACCATGAACCGAGATAACGTAAAAAGAGGGTGTTTTTGAGGACGGACCAGTCAAAATTTCAAGGGCAGATCAATCTCCTGCTTTTTTAAATGTTTGTTTGCAGATTACTTAGTTATTTTGCAAAGTTTCATTTCAATCAGACTCTACAAATGGAGTTACAAGGCAATCTGTGAAGTAAAACTTTTTCTGTATTCTTTTCAAAACAGGTGAATTTTAGAAATCTTTTCTCTTAAAGCTTTAGTTGGGACTCTTGCCAATGTTTAGAGTTTTTCAATGAAGCGCCTTACCGTCACCTGAAATCTTTGTGTATAATTGGAAAGTTAATTTTGTAGAGAACTAAAAAAAACCAAAAATCTAACCCCCCAAAATGAGTTTTGTTTTATTTCATAATGCCCAGTCACAAGTCTTGTGCACTCTGTTAGTGTGACCTTTAAACACTGTCTGCAATACTTATTACTGATGTGCACAATTGAAATAAATCAGTCGGCACAGTGTGATATGATTATCGCCCGCTATGTCACATACTTGACAATTTAGCCATTCAATTGGTTATGCAGTGTATGTGTAGAAATCTTTAAGAGTGCATTGTCTAGTTACGTTGCCTTTGTGTTGCACCTAAAATATATAGCATTTTGACGGTGCTAGTCGCTTTAAGCATTGCATAGTAAGGCTGGACCCATCAAAAATTGAAAGCTAAGCTGGAGGGTAAACTGGAAACATTGAAGCAGTGTTAAACATAAATGGCAATGGATGGGATAAAAAATTTAAGTTGTAAACGGGAGAAATCTACTAAACTTATATTTAAAATGGTACATCTGTCTTGTTTATGAAATTACAACTTGAAAAATAAGTTACATTTACAGCAAAATTGCTAGTTTAGAAAACAATGAAAGCAGGACAGTTTCTGTCAGCACATTTTAAAGAGGCTTATGTCTTCAGCTTTCAGACTTTTCAAATGTACATTGTACAGTTTAGACATTCACAGGAAACTGGATTTGTGTAGCAGTGTTTAGTGAATAAATACATGAAATCTTGAACAATCGTGTGAATGACCTCCGACATGCTTTTTCTATGAGATGTTTCTTCAGGGGATAAACGTGTCATGTCAATAAAATTACTGTTTATAATTTTAAAGCTACGTAATACAAAACTGTTGCAAACTGCTTGCTGACTACAATGACCAAAATACAAATCTCAAAATATGGAGGGCCTGACGTTTCGATCCAAGCAGAATCTTTCTCAAAGGTAAAAATGTTTATCATTTTGTAATACAAGTGCAGATTAATATACCAAAGTTTTCAGGCAGGTTCTGTTGATGGTATTTAGATGCATACTTGTTTTTCGAGGATGAAGAAAAATATCAAACTTGAAATAAGTCACAACATAATTGGAAACCTAACTAAAAGCATTGAAGTATTTTGCTTCATGCAAAATGTCGTGCACCTTGGTCAGGTCGATTCATGAATGTACAACGTTTACGCGCAGATCATCTGAACATCCTCGCGCCATCATTACAGTCTCGTATGGTTATTACCTAGAGAGGCAATTAAGAAAGAAATGCAGTTTCAGTTGTCAAGAAAAATCTTTCTACTGACGTTTCATTGTTTTCCAGTCACACTGTTCATCGGCGAAAACTTGACGAGAATGTACAGATTTCCTCGCGGAATCGTGTGAGCTGGAGCCTGGATATTTCAAATCTTATCTTTAGAGCTGAACTGCCGGTTGACAAATTTGCGAAGAAGCCAGATCTTCGACCTATTATGATTTAAACCTTGCTAAAATTCAGCCAATATAATGAATTTCAGATCCTGAACAAAACTCACACATGTTGTTTCAACATCGTGGCATCTATACACATGTATATAAATCAGGGTGATAAAATGGCTACCTTTGAAACCCAATTTTGAGATGAAAAACAAATTTCACACATCTCACCATCCATGCTGCATGTTTTCCGCAGCACCTGTGCTAATTGAATAACCGGTGTGTGCCGACGGTGCGGTGGGATAATTTTCAACGCTATCAGGAACGACGCAAACCCGTCGGACTTGCAAGGAAGTTCGATTTGAAATCCTGGTTCACAACGAAAAGACGGTTTTGCAGGTGTTAAAAATACAGGTTTGACTGTCAGTGAACAAAGTCAATTCGGAGTCCTAATGCTAGACTGTCTGAAAAATAACATGGATACAGCGAGTTACAACATGAACTTCAAAATAGCCCAACTCGGGATGGACAATGGATCACGCAAAATCGGGAGGTTGAAAAGCGTAGGATCATAAATGCAAAAGGCCGGTGAAAAATATAAAAGAGGCGTATATGTGGACGAAAAAAGCAGTGATTCTTGTGTTCCAAAATATCCCCAATCGACTCTAGTGTTTGTCGATTCATTAATGTCCCCCTAGCCCAATATTTCAATTTATTCATAGGGGAAGGGAAATATTTGGCTGAGAAAACCCGCCGCAAAAATACTTGGAACTTACCCGATTCGGTCACGGGAATGATCCCTTTCTCTGGAATGTTCAACGTAGGTGTCCTCATGACCTTGCGTGTATATGACCGCAACCGAAACCGGTATTTGTACTGGGAGAAATTATTTACTTATTATTTACCCAAAATCGACGGTATTCTAACCAGTGGCGTAGCTAGGATTTTACTAGGGGGGGCACCAGCATCTTATAGGGGCACCAGCTTTCAGTGGGGTGTTTTTACTTTTTTTGGGGGGGGGCAAGTTTATATTAGCCTTTTTCAACGTCCATTCCTCCGTTTTTTTAGTGGGGGGGCACCTAGGGGCACCAGGAATTTTTAGGGGGGGTGTGCCCCTAGGTGCCCCCACCCCCGTGGCTACGCCACTGATTCTAACAGGAATTAATTTAATCCTTTTCAAATAAAAGATCACGGTCGGAGGGCATGCTCCACTTAAGAGAAACGGAGGCAAAGCGTGTTCAAAGCAAACGATGCTTTAATAAATTAATGGAAATTTGGTCGAGAAGAAAATCTTTTAGCCTACCTAAGAAATTGACGAGTCATGATTTCGATTACATTTACGTGAATGTGATTCATGATCATGATGTACCAGTACTCTCGTCCAGTTCGGGTACCTAATGAGCGACGTGTTGGAACTTGGTAGGCTATATGGCTAAGTTCAACGTCCGCTTTGGCCTAAGGCTTAGACAATTCGTGGAAAGTTACTTTTACGTATTTATCACGATGTCCTGTTTATCATCATAGGATGCCTTACCAGTCATTAAATGATGTTAATTTTGCCCCAGCGGCAAACGCCCGTTGAAAAGCATTCCTTTTTTGAACATTAAACTGACAGCGATTTTCGACCATTGAAACTAACATTAAACTGGGCTTCAACATCTCAAATGTGAGTTTAATTTGCATGCAGAGATAAAACAACGAGGCGTTACATGAGGGGGAGCCTGCCATGTCACATTCAGCAAGGACACATCCACAGCTATGCTGGGTTGGGACCCGTTCCCCGCTTCCGTCTCCAAGGTCTGTAGCAACTCTCCGACCTGTCCATCTTGTAGAATGAACAGATTGGTTTCTTGACCTACAAAAGTCGGAAATCAACTTTAAATTCAAGCTAAAAGGTTTTCACCACTGACAAAGGATTTACACATCCATGGCATTAAGAACACTGAGACACACTTACCTGACAGACGCAGTGCCTGATCTTCGTCTATCCAAATGGAAACGCCATCTCTACTCAGCGAGTCGATCCTGGAAGACGAAACGAAACAACACGAACTGAAGACAGACAATACGATCAAGACTCTCGGATAAAACATAAAACGGTTCATCCTGCCAAGAAGAAATCTACATGTACATGTAGGCCCTACATCCAAGTCAGCATGGGCCTCAATATTCCTGCGTACTTCAACACGGATGCATCACACGATCCTGGAAGACGGCTGACAAGACTGTGGTTGGCCAGCGCCTGCCGAATTCAGCAGGTCACGTATACCAACAAAGGACCTGCTGTGTTCGGAACTCCAAGTCAGCGGTTTTGCTGACAGCCGTGGCCTGCGGGTATTTTTGTAGCGTCTGTGTGTTATATTATACTTATTCAACAATTTAATAGGTCGAAATGTAAAGATTACGATCTGCAATGAATAGATGATAACAATCTGGAGGTTACTCGAGTTGTACTAAATTTGAAACTATTGTTAATTCCTCATGACCGTATATTTGGTTTAATTTATAAAGCAATATATTTGGAAAAGTAATATCCACTGTATTAAAATGTCCCATATTTTATGGGGTCGGCAAGCAGAATATCCCCCGGTAATCTTACCCTCCCTATCTACATAGTTGTTATTAATGGCATAGGCCTATAGTCTACTCGCCCTGCAGGTCTGAACTGCCTGTCATCCCGGGTAGCATGTTCCAAGTGGCGCGTGGCCGACGTTTTTGTGGCGAACTTCCGTGCAGACCACTCACATTTTGCCAACAACTTATGTTGACGGCCAGATTTTGCAGAAATATCACATTTTCGATTTTACCCCAAATTCCTTCAACGTGGACATTTTGAATAGGGTCGTATTTTCATCAGTGCATAGCTGCGTAGGATGTTTAACACCGTGACTGTACTTTTGTACTGACAGTCAGCCACAGTTTTAGCAGCCACTTCTAGGAACGCGACTGCTACATCAAAAGACTGGACCCCGCGTCATACACAAAAAACAACTTCCTCAGTTGCATCTGTGCAAAAGCTTTATCATTATATTATTTATTGATCACTAAAGTTAAACAGATATAACTTTTCCAACTGTTCTCATACCGTCAAGAGTCTTATCTTCGGTCCATACCGACACCACGATTATAACTAAGCTATTTTATTATTCTGAGCTTACATGGAATCGATGAGCCGAGTTTCTTTATTACTCAGTGCGCTTCGTTCCCGCTTTTATCTCTTTCAAACACGTTTTAGCGTACGACAAAACCACTATGCCATTTTTGTAAAACCACGCACTGACGTCACAAAAGTAGGTGCGTAGCTGCACGGTTACATTACAATTTAGGATTTTTCCACCCATTATGACCCATTAATGCGACACATAACACTTTAAGCTTCAATACGCCTCGAGCAGAAGTACCCCCTCGTCGATTGAAAAGAGCTATATTGGTCGGGAGTGTTCAATTTTTTTGGTAGCGATGCAGCCATAACTACGCGTACATTTCATAGTCGTTCGTGATGAACCAGCGAAGTGCAGTTCTGACCAAAGGAGCCTCCGTGCTAGAAACTTACATTATCTCTTTGTCAGGCTCGAGGCCCATTAGGCCTATCTGTGGAAATTGGATTCCTCAGCAAAATACCTCCACCGGGCAAGCAAATAAGGCCGACTCGCACCGCTGTCTAAGTTAATTCGGCTGAAAATAGACCATTAACGTGAAAGCTGTGGAACTACTAGCATAATTATTGCCTTTTTGGATATGCTGAAGAATCAGTGGCGTATCCAGCGGGGGGGGGGGGTAGGGAGCAACTTGCCCTCTAACGGATTTTAAAAAATACATACTTTAATTTTTTCGACTGAGATTACTTCAAAGGTGAATAGGAAAGAAACTAATAGGAAATCAAATAAATAGGCTGTTTTTACCCCCTTTTTGTTTTGAACTCTCCCATACCAAAAGCAACATAAACAAAGCAATAATTTACCCCGTACAACGTTCAGGCGTTATTACGTAGGCTAGGCCTACCTGAACGAATCAATACAATTATGAAATTGGTGACACACCCTGTCCTTGGTTGGGCCTACTGTATCGTTAAAACCCTCTGGTGGCTCTTTGGCGGTTCAATCTGCAGACTTCTCATGAAACCCATATCCGAAAAATGAAATGTATCCTTTGTTCTGCAAGTGAATATTACCTACATGACCCAGGATATATGCCCCAGACCAACTTCAAAACAGCCATGTAAACAGTCAAACCAGGTAAAGCCTTTGTGAGGAAAGTCACAAATTTCAAGCAAGTTTAAAGACAACAGGAATACCATTTTATAATACATAAAAAAGAAAAGATAGACCAGGGGAAGACTATGGATAGGACTTTACCTTAAGTTTACCTTATCTCCCTGGTTTAAATTGGATATATCCGTTATGGGACATGAGATTGTATTTTTAAACTTTTTTTTACAATTTCTTTATTTCTCTTGAAGCTGATTATCATAAAAAGTTTTGTTTGACGTTCGAATAACCAAGCAAGTCGAATGTGTAGGACTCAGTTCAATGTTGCACTGCTTTTTTCCATGCTTTCCATTAAATATGTAAGAAAATAAGTTGTTTTATTCGTGTGTAATGTTGGGCATTTGTGTGTTATTATGTTGGGCATTAGAGTCAAACTACTTTTCACGCGCATGAGCTCAACGACGGAGCGTGACACTGAGATTAACACGCACTTCTTATAGCAATACATTTTGGACGCATGATGTGCTGTCTATACCCCTTCGTATGGCTCATTCAAAGGCTACACTCGAATCTGTCTAGAGCTGGGCCTAGGTCTTTGCTTCATTAGAAATGTGTGGCGACACGCAGGCAATCGACATAGCCATAGCTCTGGAAGCCCGTTTTGGAAACTGGCTGAGTCTCGCTGTGATGGGGAGAATCATTACACTATTCGGTGGCCGACAGTAACACGAAGATGGCTCATTTTCGCCTCCAACTGGACATCCCTGAGTCTTATTCTCTAACTTGGGTCAAATACTTTCCCCTATGTCAAAGCATTTGGGAAAGCTTCAATTAAACCAGCTTCAGTTCCTAGCCAATGGAGGCTTAGCGTGGTAGCAATCTTGCAGGGTAGTTCCTCGGTTCTACAGGGAAACCTCTTTAAGTGCGTATCAGTTTGAATAAAAGACCTGTTTTATAAGAAGGTTACCATGCATAGCCTCTATACCCTAGCTGACATCAACACAAAATGCAAGATTTCAGTACTGACAAGCACCAGGCCGCAGTTTCGTACCCAGGTCTTGGCTGCAGGCAAGGGACATTTTTCCTCAATACAAGTGCCGTTTTCTTTCATCCGTAAAACAATCCTCCCTCCCCAAATTACTGTTGCCAAAATGCTGGCACTTCCAGTTCCTAATAAATTAGAACATGTTTGGGAACCCCCCACTGCGCCCTCTCTTGTTGGATACACCACAGGTGAGTAGGACCACAGAAAACACTGCGGCCATCTTAGGATATGAGTGAGTGCATGCACTGCGCTTAAGCCTAGCCGGTGACTTGGAAAATACCATTGTGTTGAATAGCCTAAGATGATCGCGCAGTCGCTTTAATTCGTAGCCTTGGTCAAGGCGTTCGTCATTCGTCGCAGCGCAGCGCGCGCACGGCAGCGCTCACCTGCCGCCTTGACCAAGGCTATTCAATTTTCAGAGCAGAGCTGCCTATCCAGTTTATAGAGATCAGTGCTTGGCACCAAATAAATGAGAGCCTAAGCGCAAAATTCTAATCTCCCTTCAAGCTGTCCTTGTTGTTCACCGCTGGTCTTTTGGTGACACTTAAAATTTACATATTTCTATCTACGGCTAAAGATTTGAAGCAATATCTCAGCATCCCCTCCACGATGCGGCGGCTCTGTCTGGTCTATTCAGTCTGTGTTACCTTTCTTTTCTTCAGGTTGGGAAGGTTTTGGTTAGTTTTGTTTTATAACGGCTATATTTCTCAAGTATCTTGACTGGGGCGAAGTATCTTGACTGTGTTCAATAACTAACAAATTTATGAGCGTTTTTGACCAATTCACTGCAAAGTGAAATTCTACACGTAGCGCGTACTGGTATGCGTTTACAATCGTCGGGCGGCTAACCATATCCACTTCGCGATCGCTGATGATTTGTTACAAAAGTCCAGGGAAATCTTTAGTAAAAGTTAAACTGCTCTACGTTAGTGCGAAACTGCACGCTAGTCTAATGATTGAGCAGTAGCGTGCAGTAAGCACGATCCGTTATCGAGCTCTGTCCACCCTGTGCAGATGCTACCCCTCATAGGACAAAAGAGCCATGTTGGTCGGGATTGTTCATTTTATTGGTAGCGACGCGACGTCAACGCGTGCATTTCATAGTCGTGGTTTGTGAACCAGCGAAGTGCAGTTCCCACCAAAGGAGCCTCCGTTGCTAGGAAAATTGCGCCCTCTCTTGGTCCAGCTCGGGCTCATAGTATACCAGGCATGAAATGGGACAGAGGGGTACCCCCCAACAAGTCCAGTCCCTATACACACTCCAGCCTATTGTTACTTAACACATCCCCCCTTGATGTCTGAAAAGAATTCCTGAGATACCAGTATAACAATGACCAACTCAATGGCGGGGGGGGGGGGTTCTCTCTGTCCCATAGTTTGCATCAAATGACTCATAGGGTCTTTGGGTCCAGCTTAGCTCCACGCACAAGGCAGTGAATAGGCTTTTCTTTAATTTGAAATCTGTCTTATTTCTGTCGTCATTAATTTTGTGTAGGGCTAGTTTGGCTAAAGACGACCTGTCTGAAATAGTGCATGGCTCTAGATCTAGATCTGCCGAATAACGCTATTTTTGTTTTATTTTGACAACTTCCTCTGTGACCGATACAATTGTCTGGAAAACTGTAAAGTTTAAAATCCTTAATTGTAGAATGTGTTTCACCCTTCACAGAAGTCGTATTGTCCCTCTGTTATGTACATCTCAAGACTCTTCCAAGGATGCGGGTGGGCAGGCCCTTTTTTTTGGGGGGGGGGGGCTCAGGGGAAGGATGAATTTAGCATTTTGTGGTTAACCAATAACAGTGGAAGGGGGTCGTTTCCGAGGTATATTCCAGCGAAATGGTGAAAATTCATCCCCATTCATAGCATTTTCCCCATTTCTTTAGCTTTCTCCCTTTTAGGCTTTTCAGTGGGCCAATGCCCCTTGCCCCCCCCCCGCGAAGCCGATTTTGATTGCCTGACCCAAAACGTCTTCTTTCCACAGTCCACACTGGACACTTACCTCAACAACTGTTAACAATTACAAACCAAAATGACCATGCATATATAAGATTTAAAGTGCTTCGCACGAATGCTGTGTTTTGCTTTTAATAACTCCAATTAAATTTAAATGAACATTATGTTATAACATAACATAATTTTAAAATGCAATTTCCAAACGAAAATGATAAGCAGCATTGAATGACTAACGACAATAGAGTGTTCAAATGATTGAATATTCAGTTAAGATCTTTGGACAATTATATTGCCATTACGCACAGTTTCCCCACCTCCCTTTTTAAAACTAAGACATTGCAAATGCCTCGAACACTTTTGTTTTTAATGGTTGGTTCTGTAACGGATTAAAAATGTTGACTGTCGTTTGAAGGAAATACTCGTAGACAACAGATCTAGAAACGCCACGACCCGGTTTAACAATGGGGTACGAGAGACACGGCTTGTAAGAAACCACGCATACTATTCACGCCAACAATTGAATAGCATTCTGTACATCGTCACTGATCAAAAAAGGTTCTAATCTGATCAATCTCTAATCAGTCATCGATACCTGAGACAGGACTTTGTAAATCAGCAACCCAGGTCTACTTTTTTATTTAAGGCTTGCTGTTCGGATTGCAAAACGGCGAGTTTTGATTGGTCATCATGATGTACAGACCGTACTTACTCGACGGTGTCTGGTCGGCTCGGTAACCAAATTTGACACCGCTGACGCCACTCTGACCACTGTATTTGCAGCCCTGTCCTTGGCCAGTCTGCCAGGTGCAGGGGTAAGCTAAGGCGCCACAGTCGTTGCTGATGCTGTCTGTGAAGTAGTCAATGGCCTTGCTATGACCGCACGTTCCCTCCGACAGTTCTGGCCAGGAGGCACATCCGGGCATGTGGGTGCCATAGTTTGGATAGACGTCTACATGACCCACCTAGCGGAACCCAGAACGAAAAAACAAAACCATCATGAACAACAAATTCTCCACTCCCGCGTGTGAGAGCACATAGCATCAAACTGAGGCATTTGTGGTGCTCATTTTGAGAAATCGACAAGAGACAATCATAATCATTGCTGTGAAGTCTATTTTTGCCTTCTGGGTTTTTCAGTAAAAAGTTCAGTAAGCTGACCTTCAGTACTTTTAGTATTGGCATCCAAGTTTTGAGAGAATTTTGATTAATTTGGTAGTTTTGATTGAGCGACATAATATGTCACTCAATCTGGGATGTACGGTTGTATTTCAAAGGGAGTTGTGAAATTAAACCGGGGGGGGGGCTCGACTCCCCGTGCCCCCCAATCGGGTGCACAATTCTATCGAACTTAGGAACATCAAAATGCATACATGTGCAGATTCTTCCCTTTATTTCCAATTAATTGCCACGGAAACTCGGGGCAATTACCTGACAACGTCTGATGTTTCTTGTAGAGGAGTGAATGTGAACATTCTACATGGATTTTCCAAACTTACCGGCTGGAATATGCCGAACATTGAACAATGGCTGGCGTCAACGAATTTGGCATCGCTAGGGTCAAGTCGGCAGCCTGTCTGATCGCCTTGGAAGTCAGGTTCTGCGGGATCCATACCTAAAGCGACATATTGCTTACGGTCAGAACGACATTGAATGCAATTTGGTATACCCCCACTGTCCAAAAATGATTCTTAAACCAGGGGGAAAGCATGCATGTTCGAAAACTATTGTTAGTTGAAGTTCTTAACTGAAATGTTTCTTCTGTAACAAAATAGAACAAATGACTGCGTCCAAGTTATGGCTTTACGGTTGAAATAAGTTTAACAGCCGAAGCCAGTTTGTTCGACGTTTGTTTCACCTAGGGCAGTGGCATGAATTTTACTTGGGAACATATTTTGTAAGAAAGCCTTTTCTCGGTGAACTGCCATATTTGCAAACCACGAATCATCAAGAATTGAAAAGTGGCCAAAGCTTGCAAAAAGGTTCATCAGCCTTGGTTGGCAATAAATTTTGCCTCAAAATGCACACTTTCCATCATCGGTGTTATAATGGAAGGCATTGTCTGACATTTTAAATACTTACTTGGGATTTTTTTTCACACTTTGTGAATTATTCTTTTCGTTTTGTGTTAACGGCCAGTCCTAAGTACCTATCAACCACAGTTTGGCGAAAGTGCGCAGTAGAAAAAGAAATGTTTGTATGTGTTACGTCAGTAACAATAGAATTTTGTTTGCAATTTTCCGAATGCTACTTACCAGAGATACGTCCGATTTTACCACCAAATTCTTGGCCAACATATCCGGCCATCTGACCACCCAGACTGTGTCCGATAATGTGCACGTTATTGAGGCTAAAGGCCGAATACTTGGACTGCATCTTCTTGATGAGATTGCGGATTTGGCGGGCCACCACGCGAATGTTCTGGCGTGCCTTGCAGTAGTCGGGAATAAAACTTGGACTAGCTCCCTTTTGCCAATCTACGCCGATAACGTTGAAGTCACCCTGAAGTGAATAAATGCCCGTTGTTTCTTTAAAGTGTCTAGGTGCCGTGTACACCATCCTCAACACCGAAACATTGGTAAGCAGTCATTTATTACCTGGTGAGGGTTATCGTTATTTCTGTATGTAGTTTTTGTGGAGTATGACCGACGTACTGTCTTATGTGTTTTACGTAGGGCCTCTTGGATTCAAAATGTGCGGGGATATTTCTCTAACTTAAACAAATAACAGAGGTTCTCTGAAAACAAAATTCTTAGCCCTCTTGGAAAATTCCAAATGTCTCCTTTTGAGTCAAAAGTCTAGCGTGGTGTTTTAGTACAATTTCGCCTGAATAAATCCCTCTATTCACTGACAAAATCCGGAATAAACCCTGTCAGAACAAAGTGTTTGCTTTAAAAAAGAAACTCTTTTCGTTTACACCACCAGAAAGGTGACAGTGGGATGGAGCAGTCGTTAGTGGCTGTGCGGTCGCAAAGTGAATTTGGACAAATTACATGTAATAGAACAAGTCATACGAACACTCAGGTGACAACAATCAACTACTAAATAACATGGGGCCTTACCTTTGCAAGTAGTTTATCTTTCATTTTCAGCAACCAGCTTGTTTCTCCCTTGTCAGTGAATCCGTGAATAATGAACTTGGTAGGACTGGAGGCAGAGAAGGGATATCCCAATGATGACGTCGATATCACCGTCGGTGATGACGGGTTCTTGCGGGTGTACAGGCGAAACTTGGTACCAATTTGGTTCGGATGCATTGGTGGGAATCCTCTGCGATGACACCATAAATTAGCGTCAAAGGTTCCTACCTCCGGGTAGGTGACAGGGGAAAAGCTACCTGTGCACACGTTGTCGGGATTAACTGAAAATAAATAAATACGAAGAACATATACGGTGAAGTGAAAGTCATATAAGCGCTTTTCGGACAGGTACTCCAAGCCGATTTTGTAACTTAATCCATGACTTTATTGAACCTGACTAGAGTCACTATGGGCTAATTAAAATGACTCAACTGAAGTCCTATTTTAGAAGACTTCACTTCACTCCGCTCGAATCGATTGCTAATAACATTAAAATACCAACACCTACATCTTTCCTATCCTGAAATTAGGTCTTGGTTCATGAACCGCGAAGCGGTTGCTTTTTCTTCGGCTATTACTTGGACCCTTTAAATTCAATACTTCCTTACCCCAAAAATTGTACATCGGATATTTTCCATGTTTATCTTAATGGGTAATATCTTGTAAAGACAGTGTGTCTGAATCATATGCTTATAAACAACAAAACTTTCTTTAATTAAAGTTGCAAACTGTGTAAAGCATACTTTAAGGCTGTACTCACGATTCAGTCCTAGGCAATTGCATTCGAATAGCCGTTCTTCTGTTGAGGGGAAACAAGGTTAATTCTATAAGTTATTGTCGGCTGCTTAAATATTAACTTTGTGTACTTTTTTTTCCACAAATGGAATTTACCACGTGAACCTCTTATACTTACTACCTGCAAATCAAAATAATAAACCAAAGTATTGTGTCAAGTACCATGTTTTATTATTCGAGAGCTTCTATTCTTGCTAAAATAGTTGGTTTGACACCAATCAAGCTACAGATAAGAAAACAAAATGTGTTAGAACTTTGAAGGCTGTTAAAGAGCAGCTGCGCTCTGGCTATAGACATACCAGGCATGCTAGAAAGCGGTAATTGGTCAGATGTTACAGCCCGGGCAGTTCAAACTCCTGTGTCCTTCCTCTATGGCTAAACCATGGCTTTCCAAGATGAGTTCACAGCAACAGTGCCCTCATTTGGATAAGCAAGGATAATTTCATTGTTTAAAAGCATACATTTTCAACGCATTTAGCTAAATAAGAAAGTAAAAGAGTTTTCATACGTTGAAGAAGACCACAAAATCGAAGAAAAAATTCATTCATTGAAGCTACACTTTAAGCCAAATTTCAAACAGTTTTTAACAGGTTTGATAGCCCTATCAACAAGTGTACTGATAAATACCAAACACAACTGAGCAATTTCTATGCTTGTCAAGAGCTCGCTATACATGGCCGGTTTTAAATTGACCAGCTCTGGAGAATTGTCGCTGATAATGTCCCCAGCCCTCAGCTCGGATATTATCAGCGTTCATTCTCCTGAAGAGGACAGAAACGAACGCTTACAACCGACCAGGCGCATATTTTATGCCTTAATAAATTCATAGTTTTTCCGTTGTACTCTGGCAAAAATGTACGAATTGCAAAGTCACCTGCATCGTTGGCAGAGGCAAGGAAGAGACCAAGAGCCAAAACCAAAATGTTGGCTGCGATACCCATGGTTTGGAGCAGTTGTACTCAGGAAAAGATGCGAGTCGGCTTCACTTGTAGAATGAAGGTATCCTCCCACGGAACGGGGCAATATTAACCAAAATGCAGCTTCATGGATCACGTCAATTTTTCATTTGTCGGTAGGTAATTTGCATTTCGTTTTGTGATAAATAAAGTGTTATCAGATTCTGTTTTGATAGGTTTGACAATCAACAACTTTCATCCGGACCAAGACAGTTTTTTTTCCTAACGAACCCTGGCCACGCTGCTATCCACCAATGGCAAGACAAAACAATATCGTGGGAACCAGGTTGTATGGTTTTAGTAGAGTTCTCGATACCACTATCAGACACCAAATTTGCTGGCCATATTGCCGAGGGACAATAACAAGATTTTGTGTGGTCAGTGAATTAATTCTTTGGGTCTGTAGTTTGCTCAATATGTACGGAAATTGCACGTTGAAAAATTAAACTCGTTGGCACGCACATTTTATCTTATCGTGCAACGTAAACAAAACTAGAGAAGTTATCATGTTGATTTGTTTTTAATCGAGAAGCGTTTGAAGACAAGAGGGACGGAAGGATAATAACAGAACAGACAAACACCTCGATCAATTCCACTCAAAGCAGCCTTAAATGTAAATATGGAGGACTGCATATAATATCATCTTTGCATAATAATATACATGTACGTAAATCGTTATACAGTAAAGAGCAAGTAGGAGAAATTGGACAGGTATATACTTTCGGTTCTGTTAGTAGTTGATTTTGACGAGCCCTTGCGTTGAAGTTGAAATGAATCGAGATGACTCGACTCGAGTTACAATTTTTGGCGACTCGACTCGAGTCCAGACGGGTAAATAACTTGACTCGACTCGAGTCACTGTCAGCAAAATGACTCGACTCGAGTCCCATAGATCCGACTCGAGCGAAAGTTAAAAGCAAATTTCTTTGATAAACAAAATATTCGCAATGACATACCGTAACGGTTATAATGTAAGAGTAAGATGTGGTGTGACCCTATTTAGAAACCGAGAGGTAAATTTAAAATGACCAAAAAAGACTTTCTTATTTTTATTCATCGTATTGTGTTAAATAAACCTCACCTCGTTGCGGCCACCCATCGACCTTCCAACCAACCATCGTTCGATACATTGTAGACTTGATATCGAGTCGGCAATTGACTTGGTGTAGTCCACCTTCATCGCGAGCGCACGCGGTGCGGTTCGGCGAACAAATTAATGACACGTGGGAACGGTCAGTGTAACCTCGCTCCCCAATATGTGTGTTGCCAATTACCGACTTGAACAACTTTCAAACCCTTTTGTGCACAACACATGGGGCTTGCTACCAAAATTGGACGGAGCACTCTGATTGGTTAAAGATTCCGAAAATATGAATATTTATTTAAGAGGCAGTTTGATTGGTCAGTTGAACGTTTGTTAACAACCACCGTCTCGTTATGAAGAGTTTGTTTACATATTCTAAAAATATGATTTGCCATAAAAGCACTTATTCTCTTACCAGAAAAAGATAGTTAATAGATTTGTTCTTGAATAGTAAACTGTCCCTAAGCGTCGTATTAAAAGGGATATTAATGCGAGATATGAAAGAAACTGGCACTAATCAATTGTAGACATCCCTATAAATAAATGGATGAGTCTTTTCTGTAGCGTGAGCTACTGTTGGCGCTCTACATGGAAAAAATGAATCATGCAGTTCAGCTGCTGCATACTTGCAGGTTGATCAAGTCGTTATAATAGGCAGGCAAAGGGGGCGGTGGGCCGACGTGTGCCGAACCCCGGTACTGAACAGCCCACTCTTGAGTAGGGCAGAATCCGTGTGGCATGCTGGATGGAACGCGGACATCAATGAGCGGGCTCCGCAAAAGTGTAAAATGACGCAGCATATGGACGACAAACACTACCAACTAACGACTTGATTTCAAGTCTAGTGACATTATGACAATACAGTCTTGCATGACTCACACGCTTGTGGACCTCTCACGGTCATTTAAGAATTTCATTATTTGTTTACTAAATCATATCGAAAAAGGGCTTTATACAATATTTGCTAGTCTATACATTAATGTACAGTAAACGAAAAATCACCTGACCTGAAAGAGAGAAAAAAACATCTAAAATAAATGAAGAAGCAGACAAATCGGTTACTAATTTGGTTAATGCAAAATTATTAACAGATAATTTTACAATTTACAAGGAAATAAACTCAAAGGAATAATGTGAGTTTGCGAAAGATTTTAAAGCTTAAGGCCAAAACAAATCTTCAGTTTCTGCAGTGCGTGCATTGACGTAGACCTGCGCATGCGCGTCGGAAAAATAGAAATTTTTATTTGGTATAACCCGAAGTCCAAAAGTTGCCAAAATTGCAGTAAGGAGAGCGCTGGTCTATTTCAGTGTTGGTGACGGCCGTACGTACGTACGTACGCACAAACACATGAGCGTGTACGTCGTTTCTAGGGAAGAAGAGAGAGAGAGAGAGAGAGAGAGAGAGAGAGAGGGGGGGAGGAATGGGGGAGGGAGCCCCAATTGTCAACAAAATAGCTGACCAGTAACAAACTACATCAAACTATAGAGTACCAGCTTGGCATCAAGAGGAAACATTGCCACCTAAAGAGGGCATTTTTGGCGAAATTTTCGAGTTTTGGACGCCATTTTGTTAAATTTTTTGGGTGCCGATGACCTCGCACTGCGTCTCTTCCGCCACTGTCTGCGTCTTTACGTCTTGCGGACCAGTCTTTCTGCTAAGACTGATGCCCATGATCCAAGCAGAGCATATATCCTTGGTGACTCCTGTGTCCTAAACTATATTGAACTATGGGCGATATCTGACAAAAGAGTTTATCCAGAGTAGTCGAGAATATCCAGGTCAGGGAACCAAACTAAATCTGTCGTAGCGCTCTGGCATTTTGGGGCCAGAACTCCCTCTTTATGAAATGGTGAATGGCTCTAAGATCTCCTATAGTCGGGCTGAATATTTGTTTATTTGAGAGCGGACATAAGGTCCTACTCAACCTAAGACATATCGCGAGACATGTCTTAGGTTGAGTAGGACCTTATGTCCGCTCTCAAATAAACAAATGGTGAAAGGCTCTAAGATGAGCTATAGTCGGGCTGAATATTTTTAATCTGAAAAATTTTCGTTA